TTTCTCTTGAACACTTATCTGCATCCTTGATTCATCAATTTCATGTCTAATAGTCTAGGCATAAATTATTTTTTGTTTTTTATGGAATACTAGACTTAGAATTTTCCTTTTGTTAGGTAGTGTTCCATTTTACATTCAACATATGTCCCACTATTTTTTGTCTTCTCTTTTTATTTTTTTTTAAATTTAGTTATTTGCCGAGTTCTTCTCAAGCTAATAATAAACAAGGAAAATAAAGTTAATGATTAAGGTTGCCCTGGAAATTTTTTTTGTAAATGGAAGTGGGTAGCGAAGAAAGTCTTACTAGTGGAGTCGGATTCAAAGGAGGCAACTAGTTGGTTCTAAACCCAATGAGGAGACCTTGAAATTAGTGGAGGATATTTCAATCGATGGATGAACATTAGGGAGTTGATTGATGCGATACAATTCACAAATATCTACAAAAGAGGCCAATGGTTGCGCAGGTATCCTTGCAAAAGAATGGGTGGACAAGGACGAGCTCTTCATGGCATGGATATGAGCAATAACAGCAGACTAGCTGAAGTGAGAGGGCCGACTATACCTTATCTGTTAAGGTACTTGTTGCGTTGGAATTTTCTGGGAATGTTGGGTGGTTAAATAGACTACTACCCTTGATTTACATTGGAATTTTCTGTTCTAGGATGCTGGCTATAGTCTTAGTTGTGGTTATTGCTTTGTGTGGCCTTGCTGAGCCCTCTTTGACCCTTGTGAAATGCTTCTGTTGATCCCTTAAGAATGCTTTTAGACCGTGCCAATTTTTTGAGCTATGTTTTTAGTATCGTACGCGGTGAGTTTTCATTTTGTTGAGGGCTCCTTCGGGCAGATTTTGTAAAAGGTGGCTGTATAAGAGTTTAACTTTGTTTTCTAATTCATCTAACCCCATTTCGTCAATGAAATATTTTATGGCTTATAAAAAAATAGAAGTAAATAAACAGTAAAATCACAAAAGTAATATACCTCTAAAAGGATAGTTGAAAACTGAAAAAAAAAATTTATGTTTATTAGAATTTACTTTTTAATGATGCTTTTTGGTATGAAATATTCAGTTTATAGGAGAGATATATGCCGTCATTTAGAATAATGGATAACATAATTGGATAGATTTTCTTAAACAAACCACAAAAAAAAAAAGAGAATAATTTTTGAAGGACTTTAAAAGGCATTGATATTTAAATAATGTATTGAATTGGATTTATTTGATAAATAACATAAATTTATGGATTATTCTATGATAAAATAGGTTGTCCACATAGGCATCCACATTAACATTCCTTATCTGGTAATCTCGTACCTTGTAATATAATATAATATAATATCATATAATATAATATATATGATTTTAAATTTTTTATAATGTGACGTTCCATAAGTTTTAATGTCAAAAAGTAACAAAAATCAGGAAAAATAAATTTGAACTGTGTAAAAATTATTAATCAATTATTAATTATAAGGGCTTATTTGATTCAAAATAAAAGTATTGAGATTTGATTAAAAGTAATAAAAAAATAAAAAAAATTTAAATTTTTTAAAATAATTTAGGAATTTATTTGAGCATTATGTAAAAAAAAAAAACATAGATTTGAAACATCCAAAGAAGAAAATATGGAAAAAAAATACAATAAAAGGAGTATAGTACCTTATATTGAAAAATTTTTTACAATGACAAAAATTAACAAAGTCAAATGAAAGCATATCTTTGGAAAAGAACTTTTAATTCAAGCAAATTTATGTATATGTGTATTTAAGTATAAAGTTTTTCCTAATTGAATGTAATTTTATACAAAACAAAATTAAAGTATATCATTATTCGAATTTTAATTATTTTCTTATATGAACTTGTGCCATTTTATCTTATGGACATGCGCTTTTAACACATTTTTATCTTGTCGCAACTCGCAACTCTTTTACCATTATAATGTCCAACATTTAGACGTAAAATCATAAGTTTTCATCATGATAATTCGTTGTAATTGATCTTGGACCATAATGTTTCAATTATAAAATTTTCACTACAATTTTCGATTAAAGATGCAATGCCAAACTAAGCCAACATCAACGACGACGTTGAGGAAGAAGCATTAGGGAATCATACAGGAGAAGTTACAAAAGGTCTAGGTGGAATTGCTAACGATTGAAGACTTCTTGTCAACATTTCTAGCACCTTGCTCATTGATGGCCGATCCGATGGAATGGTTTGAATGCACCAAAGGCTCACTACAATCAACTTCCTTGTTATTTCTTCTTCCTCTTCACCTGTTACTCCATCAAGACTCAAATCTATAGCCTGATCAAGATGCTTATAAACCCATGAGGGAAAATATATTTCACTGGTTTGGGACACTTCGACATCGATATTTTTCCTTCCTCCAACCATTTCAAGGACCATCATTCCATAACTGTAGACATCAGATTTGTGAGAAACTCCTCCAAAGTTTCGACAAAATACTTCGGGAGCAATATATCCAGCTGTTCCTCTAGCACCTATCATGGAAATAATACTATCCTTTCTTTCACATAATTTAGACAAACCAAAATCAGAGATCTTGGGACAAAAGCTCTCATCTAAAAGGATATTGTGAGGTTTTATGTCAAAGTGCAAGATCCTTGTGTTACAACCTTGATGCAAGTATTCTAGTCCTCTAGCAATGCCAAGTGCAATGTCATACAAAGCCTTCCACTCTAATTGACGAGGTTGATTCATAGGTCCTTGATTATAAATGAATTTATCCAACGATCCATAGGGCATGAATTCGTAGACTAGAGCCCTCTTCGATCTCTCATAACAAAAGCCTAGTAGAGTCACTATATTGACATGAGAAGTTCTACTAATGCTAGCCACTTCATTCATAAATTCCTCACCATTCCCCTTTGATTCACTTAGGACTTTCACCGCCACAAGACAACCATCTGACAATTTTCCTTTGTATACACGGCCATATCCTCCTTGACCTAGTTTATCCTTGAATTTATTTGTCATTTTCTTGATATCTATGTATGAATATCGCTTTGGAGCAAGACAACCGTACTTCTTAATGAATGCCTCAATGCTTCCATTATGGTTCGTCGGTAGTCTGAGATGCACTAAATTTTTCTTCCATTGTTTGAGGCATAAAAATCCCATGCCTAGAAGTATGCCAGCTATAATCGCACCAGCTACTCCAAGGCCTAAAGATAAAGCAAGAGATTGCTCAACTTCTTTTTCGTAATACTAATATTTCAAGAAACAATGCAATATGTTAATGATATTGCCAAATAATACCTGTTATAAGGCTGACATTGATTTTTTTTTCAACTGCAACAGTCAAAACCCGTCAGGCTGAAATATGAATGACTAAAGAACAAAGAAAAAAAACTACTATTTAAATTTGCTATTCAAAACTTGGCCCAAAAAATTTTGTTAATCAAGGGCTAAATACGAAACATCCTACAAGTGAATTCATTTGTTTTTACCTGCCACTTGTTTGCCCTATGTTTACTATCATAAACTGGAATTATCTCATGGGCCAATGGCAATCCTAAGCATTCCGAATGTATTACAATTTCTATTAGAGGTATCCATAAAACATAGAACACATGTTTTAATAATAACAATAATTTCACAATTATTTTATTTTTTAAAAATTTTAAAAATGGTGTTAAAAGAATTATATATCAGTTGTTGGGTCAAAATTATAAAATGCTAAATTGGACTTTTCAAGCCCAATTATAAACTTTAGGCCTCTATAGTGCAACTATTTTACATACTCCATTCGCTATTATTTTTTAGACAAGATGATCGTGTGTATTTGGTTTTCCCCCAGCCCTCTAAAGTGTTGAAGTTGAGATTGCATGACAGACTCTAAGGAACCCCTACATATGCTGGTGTTTGGCATTTTATGGATTGCTTGCCGTGTTGTTTTATGTTATTGCATGACAGACTCTAAGGACTTGGTAAGTTACTGACATGATTGTGATCTCTGGAACATTACCGCTGC